TGGGAAAGAAGCCATTAGACAAAGACCCAAGAGATCAGGTGCAGTGCTGTCAATGGCGAGAAGCGCTGTGGAGAAGAGTCAAGGGTGAATGAGAGATAGTGATGGGGAACCAAAAAGAGTGAAGAGAAGAGGGGACAGAGTTTCTGCACAGAGGGGTGGAGTTTCTGCACTGTGGGAACCCCTGTATACAGGAAGACTCCCAGTATCCTATAGGGAGTCAGTGTGTAATTAGGAAAAAAGTGCCCCTTCTCTCCTGAGGACACTGCCCTTCCCCGGGGCTCATGACTAGGCAGGTAGAGAGTGGGCTGGATTTCAGCCCCACTCACCTGCTCAGCAGCTGCACTTGTGCAGTGAACAACCTGCATCACTGTTCACAGTTCCTCATGTGTGGAGGCCCTGGGAAAGTGAGGAGAAAGAAGGAGCCATGAGTGACTTCAGACCCTGGTTTGCCTCTGAGTGGACAGTGGTGCCATTACAGGAATGGAGATCTCAAGTGGAGAAGTAGATGGGGACACATTTAGCCTCGGACACTTTTGGTTGCAAGTGACAGAAAGCTCATTTAAACTAACCTAAACCCCATGAGAGGGTGTGTTGGAAGGACATGGGGCAGTTGCAAGCACCATGGCATTTGTGGGTCTCTGGAGCGGGGCCGGGAGCCCCTTTTGCTCTTCTGGATACCCCCTTCTTGTCTACTAGGCTTTGCATGCTCCCCATCCACACTGGTTTTCTCCAGCAACTCCAGGCAGAAAATTCCCAGGGACGAAGTCTAATTAGGCCAGCTTAGGTCACATACCGAGATTGGAACCCAGGCAAAAGGCTCCGGGGAATACACTCTCAGCTGCCTTGCTAAGTCAAGGGAGTAAGGGAGCGAAAAGCCAAGACGGAGGTGGGCAGCTGGAGACTGGATCACCCCACAGAGGATGCGATTTGAAGTTGCCTGCTAGCCTGCCCCTTACCTCAGTCCAACGGTCCCCAACCTTTTTGGCATCAGGAACTGGTTTCACGGAAGACAAGTTTTCCATGGATGAGGGAGAGGAGCTGGGGGAGGATCATCAGGCATTAGATAACCTAGATCCCTCGCATACACAGTTCACAATAGGGTCGGCGCACCTGTGAGAATCTAATGCCGCTGCTCATCTGACAGTGGCCGGAGCTCCACTCGCCTGCCACTCAGTTCCTAACAGGCCACAAACGGGTATGGGTTCGCAGCCTGTGGGTTGGAGACCCCTGCCTCAGCCCCCTTGAGTGGAGGGGGCATCTAGCTGAGCTCAATACCACTTGCAGTGTAGATGAAACATGCCTTGTTCATGTGGCCATTTTACCAGGGCCATGCTCTGCAGAGACACAGCATGTGCCTACACATGTGCGGTCATACAGTAGCATGCATGTACCCAGAGCACCACCAGAGGTTGCTACACTGTGAAGCCAATGAAGTCTAAGTTTCAGGTCTCCTCCCTCTACGAGTCCCTTCCAAGGCTCTAAGTTAAGCCCTAGAATTATGTCCACATGGTCTAGTTGTGTGTGTCTTTTTTTAATTTACCAAAGTCAATTACTTTAAACAACTTGTTATGGCCATTGTCTCTTTCTATTCTGACTTCCCCTGTGTTGGGTGGCATTTGTGGGCATGCTGGGGTCAGTCCTAGCTGGAGTTATAAATTTCATTTGGTGTAGTGGGATAGCTTCTAAACAAATAGGATAAAAGACATAAGCAATAATGATTAGCAATGATGTAAATTTAAATGATTCTGGCATTAAGAATACAATTATGACCAGGTGCAGTGGCTCAAGCCTGTAATCCCAGCGCTTTGGGAGGCCAAGGCAAGAGGAATGCCTGAGCCCCGGGGTTCAAGACCAGCCTGGCGAACTTAGTGAGACCTCGTCTCTACAATAAATCGAAAAATTAGTCAGGTGTGGTAGTGTGCGCCTGTAGTTCTGGTTACTTGAGAGGCTAAGGCAGAAGTATTGCCTGAGCCTAGCAGGTCAATGCTGGGGTGGCCATGAGCATGCCATTGCACTACAGCCTGGACGACAGAGTGAGACTTCAATTCCAAAAAAAAAGAATACAATTATTACCAAAATATTTCTCTAGATCACACCAAAAGGTAGTTTATTAAAAGAAAAAGATAATTTTCTAATAGAATTATGGGAAAGTCTCTTGCAAGCTTTGATAATCCAA